TGCTTCTTCCATGTGGGCTTTGTTGCTTCTGAGCTTGATGGCCGCTTGATTACCTTCAAGCCTTTAAGACCCCAGACGCTATACTTTTTGATAAGCGGGCACCATCATCTTTCTTCGCCACATTTCCTCTAGTTCCTAAGTGTTTCCTCCCCGTTCCCACTATCATGACACGAATTCTACCTTGCAAGCAAGTCTGGCTAGACCAGAGGATGTATACTGGTACAGATAGGAACTGGAAATACAGGGAATCTAGCTAAATGAAATGCCAAAACTAATATCCTGAGATAATTTTTTAATAGTAAACTAAAAATATCCCCTAAAATATTCTGAAAGTCAAACAATAGTGTAACTAGTAAAGAGAATGTCTGTCTTGAACACTGTGCTCTTATAAGATATACCTTGTAAGATATGAGATCAAATTGATAACAGCAACTGGCAGACTCAGGTAAGAAAGTCATGGACAGTGCGTTAGTAAGTGAGAAACAGCTCAGACACATAGGGTGAGGATGGCTGCACAACTCAAACAGTGTCATCAATGCCATTGAAATGCATGAGGAAAAGATGGTCGAATTGGTATATATTCTACTATGTATATCCTTAACAACAAGAAAAAAATCAGAAAATTTTAAAAAAGAAAGTATTTACAGACATTTGCTTCATTGAGGGCAACTAGTAAAATAGAAGAGAATATTTTAAAAATATATAATACATTGAAGAAATAACAAGAGGGTAAGGAATTACTATAGCTCAAGGCTGAGGGTCCTACCTGGTAAAGAAAACCTAGGGTTGTACTGAAACCATGAAAGGCTACATCCTAGAATAAGATTAAGCCAGAAATAAAAGTATTTTCATGGACTCAATTTTTAAGCCACCGGGTGGCCCAGAAACTATCAATCCTTAAAACTAAATCAAAGTCATCCTGGCCTGTTAGTGCATTTAAAAGGAAAGGAAATCCTCTCTAGGGTAAGATAATATTATTCAAAGCTTCAAAATACTTCCACAATTTTTCAAATACAATTTATAACTCATAGACAAAGAAAACTGTGCCTACGAAAATAACACAATATGAACAAGATGCAACAGAAAAAACATTAATAGAAATAGATACACAGGAGTTCCAAATACTGGAATTATCAGAGAAATACTTTAAAATTACTGCTTTAAATTTATTTTTTTTTAAAGTAAGATAGAAGACAAAAGTTTGGAGTGCAAAGCTTGTCAAGGATGAGGTAAGAGAGCCTGGTAAGACACCCAGAGTTATATTGGGAGCCTGAAAGGCTAGATACTAAAAAAATCTTGAAAGAGAAGTAGAAACTATTAATATCATAGAAGATAGGGAAGATAAAAATTCAAGAATTCAAAGATCTTTTAAAGGAATATGTTTTCTAAGCACAAAGCATTAAAGCCAGGAATTGCTAATAATCCTTATACATTAGAAATAAAGAAGTGTACTTCTAAATGAAATACCGGTAATTATTTTTCAATATAACACACTCACAAAAATAATAAACACACATATAACATGCAAAATTCATATCAGAAGAGATTACATGAAGGGGCTGGATATAAGGTATAATGTGTCTTATTTATGCAAATATGGTATGCATCTAAAGATATAATAGAAATCAGAAAGCATTTTTAACAAAATTATATTTAAAATATTGCTATAGGATTAATTAAAAGTTTATAGACAATATTAAAAACAAAGGTTGAAAATTAATATATACTTCTTACCTAAGTAAAAAGACACAGGAAATAAAAATAACAAAATAAACTAGAACTTCAATAAAGAAAATAAAAAGCAAAATTAATGAACCAGAAAACGGGTAAGAGAAGATCAGCAAAGTCAAAGATTATTTCTTTTAAAAATTGATAAAATTCACAAAACCTTGGTGAATCTGGTCAAGGTAAAAGCAGTAACATGTTAATAATTTAAATTATGATATTATAATTAATCTGCAAACATAAAAAAGATCTTCTAAAAACTTTGTCAACAAATTTGAAAATTTTTATGAAACACAAAAATCCCTAGAAAAATATAACTTACCAAACTGAAAGTAGAAACAAAAAAGCTGAATAATTATGGGATGGTTAATTAACATTATTTAATAATAATACACAAAACCAACACTAAATTAAAATACATCTAGACCCAAATAGCTTTACATCAAATTGTGCTAGCAATTTAAGAAATCAATGTAATTTCATACAAATTATTTGAAGGAATAAAAAAAGAGGGATCATTCCTTATTCTATAAAGCCAGTAATAAAGGCAAAGGATAGGCCAGAAATGATGAAAAGAAAAAAAAACCCAACAATAATAATGTTGAAGAGTGGTTCCCTTGGGTCATGAGGAAATACGTTGTGATTGGGAGAGGGCAGGCAGGCAGAACTTCTAGGTTTCTTGACCTAAATGGTAGTTCCCAAGAATTTGCTTTATTATTATAAATCACTAAGAAGCACATTTTATTTTGCATACTTTTTCTGCATATATATTAGGATTCATAATCAACATTTTATTTAAATGTATCAATTAGTGTAACTTACTAAATGAATGGAATAAATATTTAGTGACTATCAATCTTTGACTATGATCCCAAGTGTCTTCTTGGAGAAGACCTTTCGGAGATTAATTTCTTTAATGTTTATTAGCTTCCAAATTTCATTAACACACAGAACTACAGTAGATCAACAGCTATAAGTGCATTTTGTCCTACAAGGAACTATTCTTGAATAGTTATTGATTTAAAATGTAAAACTTAATCTTGGGTGATAACAGACCAAGATTAGCCAACAGTCTTGTATGTCTTTAAGCAGCACAATATAAAGAAAAATGAGACGAGTACACAGTTTTATGAGGGACTAAATAAATATCCAGTTTTTCTGGGAACTTCCACATCTGTCTATCATTGATTATTTTAATGTATTTGTCTTCATTCTTTGTCTACTCAGTCCTAGTTCAAAACCAGTAATATGCTTAGAAAAAGCTTTATAATAACCAAAAATTTTATTTAATGATTTGAAACATAATATTTTATGAAGACCAAGTTATTTAGTTATTTTTCCTTGAAAACTATCAGAGTGGAAACTGCTAGGTGAACACAGTTCAACTTCTATTTTGACAGCAGTGACAAATCCTAAAGTGAAGCATGGTCCTACCTACCTTTCTGTTAACATCCTCTGAGTGAATTATAAGCATCAAAATAGAGCAGGCCCAAACAATTCTGACCCCAAATATGAGACTCAAATTGTGGTTTAAACACTGTCAACCATTTGGCAAGCTTAAATAAGTGTAGTATTTTCATTGAAAATGTTCTCACTTTTGGAACATGAGGGTTAAATTCCACAGCTCTGTGAATTGCTTCCACGGCATTAATTTCTGCTGTGCTTAACCCTCTTCTGGAGGCTGTTTCTGGAGAGAATCTGTAAGAAAACCACAGAATGAAGAAATGAATATACAAAAACTTATGGACTTGAATCATAAGGCAGCTCCCAGAATAAAAGTGGTTTCTGGAAATGACCAAAAACAAAGCCAGATGATGATTAAAAATGAAAGCAATGTTTTCTGATTCAACATATAAAGCAAAACAAAATAAAGGAATGGAAATCTTCAAACTTAAATGAAGAAAGCCTTCAGAAGCCATTTGAAGACAAACTTTAGGACAGTAATAAGAATGGAAATGTGTCACACCAAGACATCTAGAGAATATTATGACATACAGTATATTCTTATCATCTAAGAGAAAATAGACCATGACTATTCTATTTCAATTTGTACCAAGCCAGAGTAATTAACAAGGTGAAAAAAAATGGTTGCTATGTGATTGGTTGTTGAATATCTGATCCATGAACTAAAGAAAAATCCATTAAGAGCAGTCAAAAACACATGGAAAGCAGAACAATTCCGTTACACTCTAAGAACAGAAAACATGAAGTCTACCTCACCATTATAGCTACTACTATTTACTGTTGTATCATCTAGGCATCCTTTTAGGCACTTAATTCTCATTAATTCTCATACAACCACCTTTCAATGTGGTTATTATTATTACTTCCATTTCACAGATCAAGAAGAGATTCAAACTGATTAACTTGCCTCAAATCTTATTGATAGGGTTTGAATTTGAACCCAGGTTTGAATTTGAACCCAGGTTTACTTAGTTCTAAAAACCTATCTTTTCCATCATACAAAGGAAGAATCTTCAAAGTCCCCAAAACATCAAGAAGTAGGGGAGAAAAGAGGAGCCATGGTGGGTCAGTGGGTACAGGTTGGTGTGGGGGGAGGTCAGATGCACAGGTATTCCCTCCCCTGAGGGCAATCAATTGCCAGACTGCTGTCTCATCCCACCACAGGGGTGGGCCTGCTCCCTGCCTCTGGGGACAATGGACAGGCTCCTGTAGGCGGAGTTTTCACCCTACTGATAATGGTTCCTATGGAGACCCAGAGACCATCTCCTAGACCACCCCCTCATTGCTATGTAACCTATAGTGCAGCCCCTCCCTGTGATGTATGTCTCTACCTTTAATTAGTGGGCTGGCATGCCCCCAAAAGGTATATAGGCGTGAGTCAGCAATATAGAGCTCTCTGACTCTCTGATCTCTCTGACCTCTCTCCCTGGTCGCTCCCCTCTCTTCCCCCTCTCCCTTGTTCCCTTGCCCTCCTTCCCTTCCCCCTCTCTCCACGTGGGCTGGGCTGAGGTGAGCAATGATACCATGTAATGTGTCTGACTGCATTATTGTATCTCTCATGTTCTCGATGACTTTTATATAATACTTATATATCTCAACCGTACAATTGTGCATTACTGAACCCAGAAGTAGTATTACTGAACCAGTGAGTTCTAGCAGCAGGTGGGGGCTGGCACCCCACTCCCCCATGCCACTTTTAATTTAATACTACAGGTCGGCGGCTAGCTACAAAGTGAGCAGTTTGAAACCACCAGTTGCTCCATGAGAGAAAGATGAAGCTAGCGAGTTAACAGTCTAGGAAATGCACAGGGACAATTCTACCGTCCTACATTGTCACTGTAGACTTGATGGTGAGTTTGGTTTAGTTTTGAAGGAGCGGAAAGAACATTTTGAAACTCAGTAGAAGAAGAAGATGATATTGTGTTTCACAGTCTCTCCAAATTCTTATAGTTTTCACCACTATTTAAGGAGCCGCTGTGTAGCAGCGGTTACCACTTGGCTGCTAACCTAAAGGTTAGTGACTCAAACTCACCAGTCAATCTGTGAAAGCAAGGTATAGCCGTCTGCTTCTGAAAGGATTACACACTTGGAAATACTGTGGGGCATTTCTACTCTGCCCTGTAGGGTCACTAAGAGTAAGAATTGACTTAATTGCCCTGGGTTCGGATTTGGTTTTGCTCATAACTACTTACTTATCTGAAACAGTTCTTGTCTTCAACAGTGCTGCTGTATAACAGATAGCTGCTGACTTGGGAAGGCTTATATCTGAAATAATAATTTTCAACTTAGGTAAGAATCATCATAAAATATATAAAAACAATTTTAAGAATTGGTAGCACAAGTTGAACAGATGTAAAAGACTATATATCTGAACAAGTAGTTGGAAGACGTTAAGTTTAAATCTTGACTCCACTTCTTACTAGCTATGTATAGTTGAACTAGTAAGAGCTTTTGTAAGTTTCCCTTTCTCAAACTATGTAATGGTACTTTCCTAGCAGTTATTCTTAAGATTAAATTAAATAATGTTCCTGAAAGTCCTCAATAAAATGTTGAAAAGTACTCATCAAATGTTTAAAATTATCTATTTATAATAATATTATTCAGGAAAAAAGGCATAATATAATTACAACTATGTTAAAACATATATATCAGTCTGGACATTGTGTCTCCACTCAAGCACTCTCTCAACGCAAGAACACTTTCTTCTATTAAACTGGCATTCCAAGGTGCTCACTTTCCTGACATGATTGCTGAAGACAAAGCGGGTGCATAAGCACATGTGGTGAAGAAAGCTGATGGTGCCCAGCTATCAAAAGATATAGTATAGGTCTTAAAGGGTTGAAGATAAACAAGCAGCCATCTAGCTGAGAAGCAACAAAGCCCACATGGAAAAAGCACACCAGCCTGTGTGATCATCAGGTGTCGATGGGATCAGGTATCAGGGATCAAAGAACAAAAAATCATAACATTGTGAATGAGGGAGAGTGCAGAGTGGAGAACCAAAGCTATCTGTAGGCAACTGGACATCCCCTTACAGAAAGGTCGCCAGGAGGAGATGAGTCAGTCAGGGTGCAGTATAGCACCGATGAAACATACAACTTTCCTTTAGTTCTTTAATACTTCCTCCCCCGACCCATTATCATGACCCCAATTCTACCTTACAAATCCGGCTAGACCAGAGGATGTACACTGGTACAGATCAGAGCTGGAAACACAGGGAATCCTGGACAAGTAAACCCCTCAGGACCAATAATGAGAGTAGAAATATCAGGAGGGTAAGGGGAAGGTTGGGGAGAAAGGGGAAACCGATCACAATGATCTACCTATAACCCCTTCCCTGGGGGACGGACAACAGAAAAGTGGGTGAAAGGAGACATTGGACAATGTAAAACATGAAAAAATAATAATTTATAAATTATCAAGGGTTCATGAGGGAGGAAGAGTGAGGGTAAAAATGAGCTCCTGATACCATGAGCTTAAGTAGAAAGAAATGTTTTGAGAATGATGCTTGACACAATGGATGTATGTACATATGGATTGTGATAAGAGTTGTATGAGCCCCCAATAAAATAATTTAAAAAAAACAAAACAAAAATACATCATTCACATAGGAAAAACTATCAGGAAGAAAAACTAAAAATGTGCAAAAATAGTTAAATCCAGGTGCTATATAACCAAAGATGATTTTTCTTTTTCCTTTGTTTTCTGTATATTCTTTTTGTTTTTATTTTATTTTTTAAAAGAACATTTTACTGGGGGCTCTTACAGCTCTTAAAATAATCCATACATCAATTGTATCAAGCATATTTGTATTTATGTTGCCATTATTATTTTCTAAATATTTACTTTCTATTTGAGTCCTTGGTATCAGCTCTTCCCGCCCCCCTCCCCTTCCACTCTCATGACCCCTTGATAAATTATAAGTGATTTTCATATTCCTATATATTCTTTAAGTGAGACTAGAAATTACATAAATTAGTTAAAGAATGTTCCAAATAATGCCATCAGAAGAGCATGAATGGAGAAATCTCTTGAAATTATAGAGTCCAGAGCTATTAACAAATACATTTGCTTCCAGTTTCTTTAGAATTCTAGAATGGTAAAAAACATGGAACTCATCAAAAGAATTGAAAATCAGGGCTTTGAACCAGTACTTCATAGTTGTCATGCCAACACAGCAAAATCAGAACACACTCACTGAGTTAGTTAAAGTTTATTGTGCCAACCTGGCTAATAAAGGCATGTGGGGTTAATTAAAGGGCAGAGAGCTAAATGGCTCGTGAACCTCGCTTGGCCAGTTCTTGGGTCTCTTGCTTTCTGATGGTCGGACCAGGGTGCAGCTGCCTTAGCCAGTTCCCTGCTTCAGCTGGCAAGGCTCACTTCCTGCAAGACATTTCTAGGGAGAAGCCACATGGACCTACCCTGATGCAGTGCTAGGTGCTGGGGCAGCCTTGTGGAGACCCCTGCCAGCACTGAAATGTTTCACTGATATGGCTTTCCTCCTGTAGTCGGCATCATTGCATGTGTTTTGTGGGATGGAGGAGGACTTTGTGGATTGGTGTTGGACATATGGATTAATATTGGACTTGTGAGCTTGGGCAGCACTGAGTTGGGATGTTTTCTTGATGTGCACTTACCCTTTATATAAAACTCTCTCTTATACATATGAGTTTCTGTAGATTTGTTTCTCTAATGTACCCAGACTAACACACTCAGTGTCATCAGTTTGAGTGGAGCACCATTGTTTTTGACTCTGTTGTTCAAGAGATTTAGTTGCTGTACAAGGTACATGCTGCTCTTATTTTCTAAGAACAGGATTAAGTTTCTAGTAGGATGCAAATCCATAATTTTCTCCATTGCAGTTCTAGTTCACTCATATTGTAAAATTCCAGGTCTGTTCAGGTTTGACTATGTTGGCCAGGACTAAACTGGGAAGGACCAGTTCAAAGCTCTGCTAGAAACAGAGAAGCATATCTATGTTGTTAGTATAATTTAATTTAATTTTTAATTAATCAGGTCTTCTGCTATTTTCATGGCATACTTCTTCATCATACGTGTCATAAGTAGGCCACAAAACCAGTAAATTACATATGGAAAGAATTTCTCACAATTTTTTTACAAGCCTACATTATTCTGAAGCACTTCCTCAGAATTCCAGATGTTTAAAAGAAATAAAGTTCTCTTTCCAACTACAACACATTTCAAACTTTCCAAGTCATAGAGATTCCCAAGTTAATGAATAGGAACTCACAATAAGATAAGTGTGAATAACTGACATATGTGTTCTGGTATAGTGAAAGATATGAGCAGAAACATTATACTTATTTGAATGTGTTCAGCTGGATGCTTCACAGATAACCAACAGAAGTAGAAAGGTTATACTTTCTGAAAATTCTCCCAATAAGTTTGTGGTAAATTGGTACACTAATAAAAGTAGGCAATATAATTGAATTCTTGAAATGAAAAGACTAGTGAACAAAGGAATAGAATTCTTGTGTTTAAGGTCAAGCTTTCTACTTACTGGCTGAGAGATCTTAATCACTTAACTTTCTAGAACTTAAGTTTCCTTATTTAGTGTCTAAAAATAGTTAAAATTCTTGTAATACTAACCACAAGATTATTATAAGGATAAATGAAATAATGAACTATAAATCATTATAAAAATATTTCTTATGAATTACTGTTAGCCATTGTTATTGTTAGGTGCCATCGAGTCAGTTCTAACTCAGTGGCCCATGTACAGCAGAACAAAACATTTTTGCTCAAGTCCTGTGCCATCCTCACAATTGTTCCTGTTTGAGCCCATTGTTGCAGCCACTGTGTCAATCCATCTTGTAAGGATATTCCCCTTTTCCTGTTTCTGTGCTTTATCAACCATGATGTCCTTTTCCAGGGAATAGTCTCTCCTTGTAACATGTCCAAAGAATGTGAGACAGAGTCTTGCCATTCTTACTTCTAAGTAGCATTCTTTTTTTATTAGTAGTATTAAGTAGATATCAAAGTTTATTAGTGGTTACTAGGGTCGGTACAGAGAAAGTGGAGGTGGAGGGTAGGGGTGATGAAACAAACTATATGGATCATGGAATGTTAGCTTGCAAACAGATTCTTTTAATTGCTGTCACTAAGGCTTAAACCTGTAAATAACTGAACAGGCAAAAGATGTGTGATGTATATACAAGGGAGCTTCAAAAAGTTTGTGGGAAACTTCCATAATTTTCAAATTTATTTGCAGTCATCACTGAGGCTATTTCTTGCTGCTGGTTTCTTTGCTGGCCTGCTCTTCCACCTGCATGACTAGGACCAAGGCCTTCATGAAACCTTGAAGGACTGAGAGGTAATTGGAAAGCTTGGCTAAGGTGGGTGGTTCTTTGTTCTCCATTTTCTCCAGGTTGTAGTCCGGCTGATTGGTCATCTCTGGAGAGCTTAAGTTAGGTCGGCCCTTGCTTTGAGCTGAAGAAGTGCAAGGAGTCTCTGGGGAGAAGCCACCGCTGGGCGTGCTGACTACACAGAGCTCAGGCTGCAGGTGCTTCTCTGACACCATGCCCCGTGCACAGCTCTAAGTAACATTCTTGTTGTACTTCTTCCAAGACAGATTTGTTGGTTCTTTTGGAAGTCCATGGTACTTTTAATATTCTTTGCCAGAACCATAGGTTTGTAGATTTTTGCTACTGAAAAGTCCTATTCAAACCTACCAGCCATTACATAAGAAAAAGATGAGGCTATATGCGCCTGTAAAGATTTAGACTTGGAAAGCCTATATAAGGTCACTACGAGTCAGAATGAAATCAATGACAGTGCGTTCAGTTTTTGGTTTGCAGCCATGCATACTAAATATTGATAAGAATAGAAGGAGAAAATTCAGAAAATACTACAACAAGACCACATTTATGATTACAATTTTTTTTTAACTTTAACTATGCTACCAACCAAGAAAAGTATCACTCACCATCATATTTTGCTAGAACTGCCTGAACATCTGCGTAGGCCTGCAGCTCTAAAAGGGATTCTAAGAGATTCTCATGGATGTTCAACATGGTAAAAGGAGGAAATTCTTTCATCAACTGTGCATTAAAAGAAAAAATAATAAAATTCAAACTTAATAGAATTGAATCAGATTCATTAGTCTTTTTTTCTTAACAAAATTGTGGATACCCAATCCTTAGAAATGTGTTTATGAAAAAAATGTGTATACATGTTTATTGTGTATATACATACCCACATACACCTTATAAAAACTAAACAGTTAAAAAGCAGTAATTCTGCATGAAAATAACTGGCAACTTAAACTAAATTTTTATTTCTTGGAGGAATAAATATAGTCATCAAATTTACTTACATCTCTCATTATTTTTACTGCTTCTCTTATTCTACCTAATCTTCTTGCACACATTGCCAACCTTCTTTTAATGTATAGTAGTACATTGGCATCTCTTCCTGGTTAAAAAAAAGGAAAATTCACATAATTATAGATTTTGCATTATGATCTGCTATCCCATTAACATAACATTCACTTTTATTTTTGCTTACCCAGCAAAGTTCAATTAATAGTAAGTTGTGTCAGAATGACAGATTATTGAGGATTCTTGAATTTGGATTGATGACTGTTCAATGGGGATTCATTATACTGTTCATTCTACTTTTGTGCATATTTGAAATTTTCTTTATTAAAATGTTTTATATATATAAATATAGTAAATAGTCTTATCTCTACAAGTAAATCATCTGAGAATACATAAAAGTATTCATGTTTAATTGACAAATTTACACATAAAGTTTCATGTATACTTGACCGTAAGTGCATACATTAATAAGAAAAAGTAATGTCATCATTTTTGCATAAACAATCTATTATTTTAATATTCTCTACTGTTTTAACTGGAAAACAAATTTCCACAGCTAACACAATTTTTAACAGCAACTAACAAATTATGAAACTACTTCTTTAAACAACAAATGTTTTTGTAACTATTTCATAACCATAATTGAAATTATACAATGGTAAATGGCATGATTTACTTTTTGCAGATGCAGTTTAAATAGTTCCACATTGCAAAATCATACACACACACAGTTGTGGGTTATAACATGAAATAATGAAACCTACTATATACATAAATGTTGATGATAGCTACCCTATGCTTAACAAAATGAAAACCTGTTCATATTAATTATAACACAGATCTGCATGTATATATAATTTTTCCATCTGGAACTAATTAAACTGCATCTGTGAAACAAAACAACAACAATAAAAAACCTCTATTGCATACATTAATTAGGAGCCATGGTGGAAGCAGTGGGTTACAAGTTGGACTGCAACTACAAAGTCAGCAATTCGAAACAACCAGCTGCTCCATGGAAGAAAGATGAGGCTTTCTCCTTAAATTAAGGCTTATAGTTTTGGAAACCCACAGGGGCAAGAGGCAAGGTTATGCTATCTGTATATCATAGGTTGTTAATAAGCCTTCCTCTAATCTTGATGCCACTTTATTCTACAGCTAGTCCAGCTTCTCATATTATTTGCTCAGTTTACACATCAAATAAATATGGTGACAAAACACAACCTTGGCACACAGCTCCCTGATTTGAGACCAAGTACTGCCTTTTGAGGCATGTACAAGGTTCCACATCAGCACAATTAAAATGTTTTGTAATTCTCATTCTTCCATAGTGTATTATGATCCACCTCGTATAAAAGAGTCTCCCAAAGCAGAAATGTATTATCCATAGTGTATTATGATCCACCTCATAAAAGAGACTCCCAAAGCAGAAACAGCAGACTTGTTATCCTAGTGGGCCTAGAAAGCAGAGCTGAAACTCAAGGCTAACGGGTTCCATCCAGAATCTAGAGGGCATGATCAACACCGAGAGTTTACAAGGCATGGCCATAGTCCAGTGGATCACTGAGAACACAGGATAATTTAAAAATATTGAGGACTAATGCCATTTGTTCTCTTGGGTTTTGGACTTGCTTAATGCCTGTTATCCCTTCTCTAGCCACCTCACCCTGTTTCTCCATTTGTTATGGAAATATATATCTCATGTCTATTTTACCATTGTATTTTCAAAACATAGCTTTAGTCTAGATTCACAGGTGAGGAAAAATTTTGCTACAGATGGATTATGGCTAAAGTCTCTCCTATTTTGAATTTAGATGATTCAGAAGATGAGATTTTTTGGACCTGGAGTTGACTTAAGATTTGGCAATAGTATGATGGGGTAAATGTGTTTTGCATGTGGCAAGGACATGAATTGGGGGAGGGGGGAAAGGGTGGGATGTTATGGGTTGAATTATATTCCCCCCAAAATATATGTTGTAAATTCTAACCTCTATGCCTATGGTTATAATCCTGTTTGATAATGACTTTGATTATGTTAATGAGGCAGAGTTAATGTGGGGTCTAGTCTGTCAATCAGGTCGCAGCTTGCTGAGCTCATTTGGGAGGCACAAACAGAGATAAATAGCTCACTGGAGGCCAGATACATGCTTCACTCCCTGCGAGACATTCCTGTTGACAAGCCACATGGAGCTACACTGATGCAGCCAGAGCCCTGGAACTGCAGGAGCCATGTGGAGACCCACACCAGTGCTGAGATGCTTTACTGCCACTGGATCCACAAGACTTTCTACCCACTGGGCCTGTGATCTTCCTACATTCGGTGTCATTGCATGTATTGTGTGAGTCTAAAGAGGAAATTACAGACTGAATCAGACATATGGACTAATCTCAGACTTATAGACTTGATTGGACTGGGCTGGGATGTTTTCTTAATATACAGCTACTCTGATATAATGTTCTCTATTACACACATATGAGTGTCTATGAATTTGTTTCTCTAGTAGATCTGGACCAACGCAGTCTGTCAAGTTTATCTCTTTTGAGATATAAAAGAGATTAAGCAAGTAGGCAGGACAGAGATTGGGTAAGACAGATGCCAGGGCACATGGAGCTCTCCAAAGAAGTAGGAAGCTGAAGCTGAGGAGACGAGAATCTTCCTCCAGAGCCTACACAGAGAGAAAACCTTTCACTAGAGCCAGGATCCTAAACGTAGACTTCTCTCCTGCTAAACTGTGAGGAAATAAATTTGTTTGTTAAAACACCTACGTGTAGCATTTCTGTTATAGCAACACTAGATAACTCAGATCTCCACTGCCTGCCAGAGTCATAAAACAAAAGCCCTCTAGCCACAAAAATAGCAGGAAGCAGCAGCACTGCTGAGTCTAACAACTTTAGTACAAGTGCTTTAACCATAGCTGGGAGATTAGTCCTACGAATGAAAAGTTTTGTGCTATGACCCATCTGATCCCAAAGACATTGTGGAGAAAAATCAGTAAGAGAAAAAAAACAACCAGTACCTAGTATGAGGTTGGATTCTATCTTAAGAGTCATATGTTGTGAAAGTGCCACTCTGGCATTTTATGCAGATGCAGTCTAGAGTAAACCAAATGCTGTCCATTTACTGGTGCTTGACGGGAAATAGCTACTTATCATCAGTAGAGGGCTCTCCTAAATCTTGAACATACTTTGAGTTTTGTTTCTCTAATGACTAGCCCAGTTATCTAACAAAATAAATTAGATCTCAGAGCAGTACATCTCCTCTCAACAACCAGGGCAGAACTGTTCTCTTCTACAAGTATCCTTAAAAATTGACTAATACATGCTTCTGTCTTGCTGGTTTGTAGATATTATGAATAGAGTTGTTACTGTCAATGAAATATAGCTAAACTGTAAGTACTAAGGATTTTTTAAAATGGTTTTGCTTTCTAAGTAGCAAAGAGCAAACTGCAGCAGCTAACACACAGGTATAAAAATCAATTCAAATTTGCTTACTCAGTTGTGCTGCATGCTGAGGACTTTGGTGCTTGCGCTGCTGTGATCGCTTATAAATTGTTACTCCTGCCTTGAGGGCCTGTTTAAATAGCCTCTCAGCGTCTACAATAGTTGTTGCTTCTTCCTCAGCCAGTAGGACGTATGCAGTGGCACAGCTAGGAAAAAACAAGCAAGGCAATTTTATTTATTTATTTTAAAAATCATTTTATTGGGGGCAAGGAAATTTTAAATAAAGTGTTAAAGCAATAATTTTCTCTTGGTTGCATCCCTCTACCTTTTTTTTTAAATCCCTTTACTTTTTATGTCACCTTTCCCTCGCTGCTTTACATTATATTTTCCATCTCTTGAGGGGAAAAAATAAAACAAAACTTGATCAATATTGTAAGTTATAAAGATCTCTGGTAGCATGCATAATTCACCTTGGGCTGCTAAGCATGAGGCTGGCAGTTTGAAACCACCAGTTGTTCTGTGGGAGAAAGGTGAGGCTTTCTATTCTCCTACAGAGTATCTGTCAGAAAGCCACGGGGGCAATTTCTACCATGTTCTGCAGGGTGGCCACAGGTCCGAATGGGCTCAATGGCAAGTAGTTGAGAAGCATACTGGTATATCACTTATGCATTTCCCCACCATTTCATTATTCCAGGCTTCCTCTTTATTTCCTTTCTTTCTTATTTCTATGTACCTTCTCTGATCTTTTTATATCCATTTTCCTTTTGTGGAGGTAAGGGAGGAGATATAAAGATATATAAAGAATAATATGAAAAGATGTTCAGGAGCATAGAACACAGTTTAATAGTCATGTTTGCTCTTAAACCAACCAATAACCAAACCCATTGCCAACAAGTCAATTCTAACTCATAGAGACCCTGGGTTTCCAAGCCTACAAATATTTATGAGAGCAGTCTCATCTTTCTCCAAAGCAACTGCTGGTAATTTTGAAGTGCTGGCTTTGTAGACAGCACTAACCCCCAGCATTACCAGGGTTCCTTATGTTTGTCCTTAGCCACTATGCATTTTGTAATATCCATCTAGTAGGGTGATATAGTGGTTATGTGTTGGGCTGCTACCCACAAGCTCAGCAGTTCGAAACCACCAGCTTTTCCACCAGTAGAAAGATGAGGTTTTCTACTTCCATGAAGAGTTAGTCTTGGAAACCCACAGGGGCAGTTCTACCCTGCTCAATAGGGCTGCTATGGCAGTGTTTTTATCTAATAGGGTTCGGGATAGAAGAGAGTTGGAACTGGAAAGAAAGTTTCTTTAGCCAACTGTGTACCTTTATCTCAAACATAGTCCAGAACTAGGCATTTTCCTTAATCAGGAGTACATCCAAACCATGTTATCTGCCACCGCCTTAAGTTTATCCCATATAATAAGATCAAAAACAAACAAGCAAACAAACAAACAAACCTCTCATTGGGACAATTCTGGGGGTTTCCAAGAGTAGAAAGCCTCATTTCTGTCCTGTGGAGTGGCTGGTGGTTTTTGAACAGCCAACCTTGCAGTTAGCAGCTCATGACATAACCCACTATGCCACCAGATTTACTACAGGAAAACCTCCTCAGCCAAAATTCCAGTTCTTTCTCTTCCACTTCTATTCACAAATTTCACACGTGTTTATTCCAGGTTTTCTTCACTGATTGTAAAACAGGCTTCTCTTTGATCTTTAAGTTCACAACTAACTAACAAGATAAACCAATTGTTTTTATTGCAAAAAGACAAAACAAAGAAGCTTTAATTCCAGTTCCAGAAATAACAAGTATATCTCTTTTGGATATAATGAAGTAATTCTATTTAAGTCTACTTTCTTGCAATCATTAGACATATATGGTTATTGAACACTTAAATGTGGCTAGTCTGAATTGAGATGTGATATAAGATAAATGCACATTGGGTTTTGAAGATTTGAAAAAGTATAAAACATTTCATTAATAGCTTTTTAGAACAGTTGGTTATATGTTAAATGATATTTTAAATATGAAAAAATATTAAGATTAATTTCACTTTATTTTATCAATATGACTACTAGAAAATTAATTACATAAATGGCTCACATATATGACATATATACACTTACATAACTGAGGGAAGATGTATTATTGGTAAAAGCACAGGGCCAAGGACAAGACAAAAAGTCATAAAAAGATAGCTGTCAAACAATTGAGGTGGAGAGGGTCTTACAGCATCCTTCAAATAATACCCTAAACCAAAGTATGTGGTCATTTCACTAGTCGAGATTTATTTTTTGTATTACACATTTGATGAAGTAGTAAATATAAGACTTTTAAAACCTAGTTCGTATGTTTTAAAATGGTCACTATATATCACTCTTTCAAAGTTCTAGATAGGTATATATTTATAAACAGATAAAATATAATTTTTAAATTATAGTAAGAGGAAAAAGGTTTTTTTCCTTAAGCTTTTGCTGCTTTGATCAAAAGCATTTGATGTGGAAATAGTACAAAAAAATCAACTACCAGTGTACGAGAACTAACACATCATATCATTGGGATTTTTCCCCATGGAAAATTCACACTGGTAACATAAAATTCACCACTTGAACCATTTCATTCCAGTGGCTTTGGCAGCTTCACAGTGTAAATTCACCATGGTGTGCAACAACCGGCTCCGTCGAATTGCAGAGCATTTCCTGTACTACAAAGAGGAAACCAATATCCAGTAAGAGCTACTTTACTCAGCCCATGGCAACAACAAACTAGCGTTGTGTCTCTATAAATGTGTTTTGTCTGTACATTCCCAGAAAGTGAAATCATACTATATAGGCTTTTAGTGACTAACTTCATTCAATTAGTATGTTTTCAAGATTCATACATGTGGTAGCTTATGTGAGTACTTTATTCTTTTTAAAAGTTGAATAATATTAGTGTATAGTTATACCACATTTTGTTTATCCATGATCAATTGGTGGACATTTGGGTTGTTTCTACTTTAGGACTGTTTTGAATAAAGCTATTATGAACATATGTGAACACATTTTTGTTTGAACACCTGTTTTCAATTCTCTTGGATATATAACTAGTGGAATTCTATGTCTAACTTTTTGAGTAACTACCAAGGTTTTCCAGAGGGGTTCATCTATTTTATAGTCACACAAATCTCTCTGTCTCTTCATCTCACTAACACTTGTTATTTTCTGATTTATCGCTATTGTAGCCAGCCTAGTGGATAGGATGTGGTAACTCACCATAGTGTTGTTCTTGTTGAGAATTTACAGAGCAAAACATACACCAATTTAACAGTTTCTATATGTACAGTGCAGTGACTCTGATTATATTCTTTGAGCTGTGCAATCCTTACTCTTCTTTTCTGAGTTGTACTTCCCCCATTAATATAAACTCACTCCCCCCTAAGGGTCCTACCTAATGTTTCAAGTTGCTGTTGTCAGTTTGATCCCACATAGCTAGTTCTTAAGAGCATAGGAGCACTGGTGGCTTGTTGGTTACACGTTGGGCTGCTACTGACAAGGTCAGCAGTTTGAAACTACCAGCTGTTCCTCAAGAGAAACACTAGGCTTTCTATTCCAGTCGTGTGTTTTAAATGGGTTACCCTGGACTAAGTTAATGACACTATAAACAGAAGGAACTTATGCTCCTGGGAGATGGTTGATAAGATTCTCTATCATTAAACAACAAAGCCTGAGGAGCTGATACCAAGGGCTCAAATAGAAAGCAAATGCTTTGAGAATGATGATGGCAACAAATGTGCAAATGTGCTGGACACAATGGATGGATGTATAGATTGTGATAAGCGTTGTATGACCCCCCAGTAAAATTATTTTTTTTAAATCTGAAAAGGAAGTCCTAGAGTCATTGATATAAATCGTCCTGTTTGCAGATAAATATATTTTTAACTGTTGCAAAAAAAAAAAAAAAGTAACAAAGACATCCATCTCTAAGGCAGATAGAAAACAGAGGTTTTGGAATGGATTTTGGGCTTGCGCTTAATCCTAGTTCCAATCAAGAACAATTAGTTCTTACGACATGGCCTGTTCGGTACACACTTTCATTAATTGTGGTGAAGCAAAGTGTGGTACTGAAATTGGATGGTGCCTAGCTATCAGAAAGAACATTGACTGTAAGTGAAAGGTCAATTAAACCCACATGCAAGAAACACAACATCTGTGATCCAAGGACTGGAAAAGATATAGTCTAAACCCAAAGGAGGGAATGGTATCAGAGCTTAAATTGTGAAACTGTGGTTTGCCGAAGGCTTTGGATGACAGTGGGAGCCCAAAATATATTTGAAATGTCTATGCATGGAATAAGCCTCCAGTAATTCCCCTCTGAACATAAGTGAGGGATGGCAATAACTTGGTTTTAAACAGAGTATTGGAGAGATGATTATAGTAAATTAAAATGATAAATATGACTTGAATGGCTAAAATTTTATAATTTTATCTCATTTAGATATACTTTGAGCTTGATCTGATTTTTAATATTTGCTGGGTTTTGTTTTCTCCGGTTGTGGCTTATCTCTGCTGTATTTTGTTATTGTTGGTAGTGTTGTTGACTCTCTGCTAGGTCTCTATGCTTTCAGTATATGAAACCCAAGTTGGATGAATCTAGAGAGATAATAACTAGAATAAGGGTTCCTGTGGGAGAAGGTAGGGGAGTGAGTGAGTAATAGGGAGCTGATATCAAGAAGGAATAAAATATTTTGAAAATGATTGTGGTAGCGATTGTATAACACTGCTTGATATGACTGTGCTATTGAATAGTATTATGTCTGGACTTTGTCCTAATAAAAATGATTTGTAGGGAAAAAAGAGTTACAGTCTCAGAAACCCACTAAGGAAGTTCTATCTTGCCCTACAGGGTTGCTATGAATCAGAATCAACTTGATAGCAGTGAGTTTGAATTTGGTGTATGATTTCAAATCAACTTGCTGGTAGTGGGTTTGGTTTTTAGTTTAATGACTAATAATGTTGGGTTTTTTATAATGAGTTTATAGGACATTATTTATATAGCTATACATATATATATTTGAGAAGTGTCTATTCAAGAAAACCTTTGCCTGTTTTTTGATTAGGTTGTTTATGTTTTTGTTGTTCAGTTGTAAGAGTGCTTTATATATATACTGAGGAGTGACGCAGAACGCAGCGGAGGTGTGGACGTGCGCGCCCCCGCGTCTTCCTCTTTCTCGGCTCCATCTTCGCCGTACCCGGAGCGGGCGCTACCTTTCAGCCGCCATTATGCAGCTCTTCGTCCGAGCCCAGGAGTTACACACACTCGAGGTGACCGGCCAGGAGACGGTCACGCAGATCAAGGCCCATGTAGCGTCGCTGGAGGGCATCGCCCCCGAGGACCAGGTGGTGCTTCTGGGAGGCTCGCCCCTGGAGGATGGGGCTATCCTGAACCAGTGTGGGCTGGAGGCCCTGGCTACCCTAGAAGTAACTGGCCGCGTGCTTGGAGGCAAAGTCCATGGTTCCCTGGCTCGTGCTGGGAAAGTGAGAGGCCAGACTCCCAAGGTGGCTAAACAGGAGAAGAAGAAGAAGAAGACTGGCCGGGCCAAGCGGCGGATGCAGTACAACCGGCGTTTTGTCAACGTTGTGCCCACCTTT